TTCCTAAATGCTTCCTCTCCCTACCCCCACCCACTATCATGATCCCAATTCTACCTTACAAATCTGGCTAGACCAGAGGATGTACACTGGCACAGATAGGAACTGGAAACACAGGGAATCCAGGAAAGAGGATCCCTTCAGGATCAGTGCTGAGAGTGGAGATACCAGGAGGGTGGAGGGAAGATGGGGTCAAAAGGGAGAACCGATTACAAGGATCTACATATAACCTCCTCCCTGGGGGATGGACAACAGAAAAGTGGGTGAAGGGGGACGCCGGACAGTGTAAGAAATGACAAAAGAATTATAATTTATAAATTATCAAGGGTTCATGAGAGAAGGGGGAGCGGGGAGGGAGGGGAAAAAGGAGGAGCTGATACCAAGGGCTCAAGTAGAAAGTAAATGTTTTGAGAATGATGGCAACAAATGTACAAATGTGCTTGACACCACGGATGGATGGATGGTGATAAGAGTTGTACGAGCCCCCAATAAAATTATTTAAAAAAGAACTAACCAAGAAAAAAAAAAGATTAAAAAGAATATTTTTACAAATGAAATCACTGTGATCTGAATAATACCCTCTAAAACTTTTATAAATGCAACTATGATTGTTTTACTTTCATTTTCAATTTTACTTCAGAACCACATAGACGTATTGGAAGAGCCCCATAGAGCTCAGAGCCCCAGTTTCCTGACCCCTGATCTACACAACCCCTGATCTGACAAATGGTGCTGTGGGTGAGGCATCAGGTTACTTCATCCTAAGGTCAGAGGTTCCAAACCACCAGCCACTCCATGGGAGAAAATGAAGACTGTTTGCTCTTGGAAAGATCTATACCCTCAGAAATCCTAGATCAGGTGTCCTCATACTATGGCTCGCGGGCCACATGCGGCCTGCTGAGGACATTTATCCAGCCCACTGGGTGTTTTTGCCCCATTTGCTTTTTTACTTCAAAATAAGATACGTGCAGTGTCCATAGGAATTTGTTCATAGTTTTTTTTAACTACAGTCCGGCCCTCCAATGGGTCTAAGGGACAGTGAACTGGCTCCCTGTTAAAAAAGTTTGAGGACCCCTGCCCTAGATAGAGTGTCTATGAGTTGGAACCAACTTCGTGGCAATAGGTTTGGTTTGGGGATCTGGATTATGTAAGACTGCTCAGCTTCACCAGCTGTTGCATGGGAGAAGTATGTGGGAGTCTGCTTCAGTCAAACATTGTTGTTGTTGTTGTTGTTGTTGTTAGGAGCCCTCAAGCTGGTTCTAACTCATAGCAACCCTATGTACAACAGACCAAAACACTGCCTGGTCTCGGGACATCCTCCCAATCATTATTATGTTTGAGCCCATTGTTGCAATCCTTGTGTCGGTCCATCTTCTTGACAGTCTTCCTCTTCTGCATCTGGAAACCCTAGAGGGCAGGTCTTTAGGGTTGCTAGGAGTTGACATCCACTCAAGGGCAACACATTTTGCTGCAGTTGGTTCTGTTAATGCTCTCGGAGAACAGAGGGTGTCCTATGGGAGAAAAACCAAACCAAACCAAGAATCAAACCAATCCCACTGTCACCGAGTCAATTCAGACACATGGCGACCTTATATAAGGTTTCTGAGACTTGGTCTATCTTGATGGGAACAGATGACCTCTTTCTCCATAGGAGTAGCTGGTCGATTTGAACCGTCAACCCTGTGGTTCACAATCCAACATTTATCTCACACCACCACTAAGGTGTCGGAAGAAGAAGAAATAAAAAGGCCTTATTGCTATTGAGTTACTGAATGGATTTCAACTCATAGCCACCCTATAGGATAGAATAGAATTGCCCCCCATGGGTTTCCAAGGCTGAGTTTATTTATTTTAATAACTCATTTTACTGGGGGCTCTTACAGCTCTTATCACAATCCATACATCCATCCATTATGTCAAGCACATCTGTACATTTGCTGCCATCATCATTCTCAAAACATTTGCTTTCTATTTGAGCCCTTGATATCAGCTAATTTTTCTCCCTCCCTCATGAACCCTTAATAATTTATAAATTATTAATTTCTCATATCTTACACTGTCCAACATCCCCTTCACCCATTTTTCTTTTGTTCATCCCCCAGGGAGGAGGTTATATGTAGATCCTTGTAATGGGTTCCCCCTTTCTATCCCACCCTCCCTCCACCCTCCTGGTATCGCCACTCTCAGCACTGGTCCTGAAGGGATTCTCTTTCCTGGATTATCTGTGTTTCCAGTTCCTGTCTGTACCAGTGCACATCCTCTGGTCTAACCAGATTTGTAAGGTAGAATTGGGATCATGATAGTGGGGGGCAAGAAGCATTTAAGAACTAGAGGAAAGTTGTATGTTTCATCGTTGCTACCCTGCACCCTGACTGGTGGGTTGTGAGTTTTTTTCGGAGCAGACAGCCTGGTGTTTCTCTTGAGGAGGGCTAGTGGGTTTGAATGACTGACCTTGTGGTGAGCAGCCCAGCATGCAGCCATAGCTCTTACACAGAATTCAATGGAGGCTGAACCTATGCGGAGACTCAAACATGGACTTCAGCCTGCCATGTAAATAAACCGTGACCTGAAGAACTGAAGCTGTTTTTTGGTTTTCTGTGTGTTTTTCTGTAGCCCTCTGTAAATGTAGTGCTCAGACTTTAAGCTCCAATACAAAGGCTGGACTGTGGAGGATTTATCCTTTCTGACTCCTGGTGAGTTTGATCATTTCCGCCCTGCCTTCGCCAACTCACTGGGCAAATCATATCACCTTCTGAGTCTCCGTGTTCTCATCTGTGAAATGGGAATGGTATCAGCGTCGACTTTGTAGGTTTGGGGATGGGGCGGGCAACAGAAGATTTACACGAAGCAGTTAGTGCTGGGCCGGCACAGAGGGATTACTGTAAGGTGACCAGATGTTAACACTGGCAAAGCGGGACACCATTGATAAAACTCATATCCTGGTGAAATAGCCACATGGCAGCCGAAAACCGTCTACCCTAGCTTGTCGTGCATTCTTTCCAAAAATCGGGACTTTTTAAAAACGCCGCAGGATGCGGAAAAATTGTTCAAAATCGGGACTGTCCCACCCAAAGCGGGACGTCTGGTCACCTTAGTACTGGCTGCTTTGCCTCGTCTCGTTCTTTTTAGTCTATGGGAGGAGGGATGTCCCCTGTCCAGCCTCTTTGTAAAGTTTAAAAATAATTGACGACAACACAGCCCACCCAGCACAAGCCTTCCTAGGGCCGGGTCACACCCTGGAGGGCAGAAGGCTCAGAGAGGGTGCAACGTCCGAGGCCACACAGTCAGCGTCGGTTGGGCTGGATGATGACCCCGAACCACACTGCATCACCACTTTGACCTCTCTGGTCAACCAGCCGCCCATGGTCGCGTTAGGGTGGACGGCCGGGAGCCTGCACAGCGTCCTGAGCTCAGCGGACACACCCAAGAGGGCGCCGATCCGACCGCCGCACGACCGCGACGCCACCCTCCAGGGGGCGCCACACGCTTCCGGCGTGTGTTCCGGTTCCGGCTGCTCGGGCCCTGCTGCGGCGCGCACAGCGTGGTGGGAGCGGCGATGGCGGACAGCTCCGTGGCGGAGCAGCTGCTCCGGCGGCTGGAGGCGGCCGATGGCGGCCTGGACAGCGCGCAGCTGGCGACCGAGCTGGGCGTGGAGCATCAGACGGTGGTGGGCGCCGTGAAGAGCCTGCAGGCGCTGGGCGAGGTGAGCCGGGCCTTTGCCGCTGCACACCTTCCGTGGCGTGGCCCACCGAGGCCCGCCCCCAGGCCCGCCCCTCGCAGGGGCATTGCGTTCTAAGTGTGTACAGGCCGGGGTGCGCGGCGGGCGGCGGGGACAGGGGTGTCTGCAAGCAGTGTGGCTCTTGGCCTACCACGCTCATGCGAATGCAACAAACGTCCATTGAGGTAGGTTTGGCCTCGGGGGAAGGGAGCGTGGCGTTCTGAAGGGTCCAGTCGGATGGGGGGTATGCTCACACGACCAGAGTGGTGGCCAGAGCACAGAGACCCCAGAAGTGGCGGTCGACCGAGCTTGTAAAGGTCTGGGCGACTCCTGGCGAGGTGGCAGCAGCCTCGGCTCGCACTGAGGCTGAGCCATCAATGGTAGGAGGTTGCCAAGCAGTGGCAGAATCCAGAGGCAGTACCCCTGGCAGAATCTGTATCTGCCACCCCGGGTACTGGGGAGCCATGGCAGTAGGGGGAGCCAGGAAGCACAAGCAGGCTTCAGGGGCTGTCCGAGTCACCTTTGGGCAGGATGTGCCAGGGCAGGACTGGAAGTGAGGGGACAGGGGCAGAATGGTACATCCTCGAGGTGGAGGGGACAGTGGCTGGCAGCAAGAGGCAGCTGAGACAGAGCAGAAGCAAGCCCTTCGCTTCAGGGCCAGACAGGAGAAGCATAGGCCATAGGACCCCAGGAGGAGGGCCCCAGAATCCCATTGCAGGGGGCTGGCTGGACCCCTGAGGCCAGGATTCAAGGGACAGGTCTGTGCTCTGTGTGATCTCAGCTTTCTCTATCCTTTACCCAACCCGAGGACAATGACATGTGTCTCCTCATTTTGTGGATGTGGCAACTGCTGCGTGGCGGCATCGTTCAGTAATTTGGTCTCCAAAGAGTCGGGGAAGCCTGCCTTTGAGATTGGACCCCTGTACTTTGGAGCCCGAGCTCCTCCGTGTGCCCCGCAGTCCAAGAGGGTCATCAGCCCAAAGGAAGAAGCAAAGCTGGTGTGTGTGTGTGTGTGTGTGTGTGTGTGTGTGTGTGTGTACGTACGTGCTTGTGCAGGGTGACAGTATCTTAGTACAGGGATAGTGACCATTGGGTATGTCACAGAGGATTCAGTGGTGACAGTTTGATGTGGTTCAACCCAATGACTACTGCTAATGAGAAGCTGTCTTAGTTTTACAGAATATACCATATATTAAGCCCTTTTCCGTGTTCACAGGCACTTAGGCATTACGGGAACCCTGGTGGCACAGTGCATGGAGCGTGTGTGTCGTAATGGGTTTTGCAATAAGCTGCCGACAGATTGGCAGTTCAAATCCACCAGCTGCTCTGAGGGAGAAAGATGAGGCTTCCTCCTCCGGTGGAGTTTGAAAGCCTCTGAACTGCACATAGGGCAGTTCTCCTCTGTCCTACAGGGTCACTATGAGTCAGAGTCATCTCAATGGCAGTGATGCCTTTTTTGGTTGGTGGCTCACCTGTTAGGCTTCTAATCAGGCCAGCAGTTCAAACTGGCCGATCCGAGGAGGGGGGGAACGAGGCAGGCTACCTCTGTAAAGATTTCGTCTTGGAAAGTCTTCAAACAGTTTTCTATTGGGAGGGAGGGGGGAGCTGATACCAGGAGCTCATGTAGAAAGAAAATGTTTTGAAAAGGATGATGGCAACCTATGTGCAAATGTGCTTGACTCAACGGATGTATGGATTGTCGTAAGAGCTATAAAGAAAAAGTTCTCTATTCTCCACAGTAGTGCTCCCCGGGAGAGCCCATCATTATCCATCTCTTAAGGAGGAAACTCAGGGAGGATAGGCAGATTTCCTGGAGTTGCACAGTGAGTGAGGAACAGAGCTAGGATTAGAACTGAGGCTTGAGGGCCTGTTGGGTCCCCCAACCCTGCTCCTGTCTCCTTGACCTCCTTCCCTGCCCTCATCCGGGAACCTCAGGCTCCTGGTTTGTCCCAGGGACTGTCCCCGACCCTTGGGACACTGAGGCGCTAACATGAATCCGTTCACCGGAGACCTTTGAGGCTGTCACAGGTTCAAAAGATAACAGTAGGAATTTGTTCTCTGCCAATCCACAGCTTAGAACTTGACCTCACTGGGGCAGGAGATTGTGGGCTATCCCTGTAACCCCCCGCTCAGCAAGAGGAATGCCACAGGCTACTCAGTGGAGATGTGAGCACAGGCAGCTGGCACTGAGGCTTGTCCCCAGTAATGGGGGTGGGCCTGGTTCTGAACCCTGCCCCTGCCTGTGTGCCCCTACACACACACACACACACACACACAGACACACACACACACACACCTCACTCTGCATCTCCCTGCAGGTCATTGAGGCCGAGCTGCGTTCCTCCAAGCGCTGGGAGCTCACCGCCGAGGGTGAAGAGATTGCCCGGGAGGGCAGCCATGAGGCCCGTGTGTTCCACAGCATCCCCCCGGAAGGCCTGGCTCAGAGTGAGCTCATGGTAAGGGCCGGGGACCGGGGCAAGCCCTGGGTGGCGGTGGGGGCAGCCCTGGGGCCCCACCGATGATGGCAGCCTCTCCCCTAGCGACTGCCGAGCAGCAAAGTGGGCTTCAGCAAGGCCATGTCCAACAAGTGGGTCCGCGTGGACAAGAGTGCAGCGGATGGTCCCCGCGTTTTCCGAGTGGTGAGTCCCTGCAAGTGGGCGGGTGTGCAGGAGGGCAGGGAAGCAACCAGGCCCTGGCCCTCACCTCCACTCCCGGCCCCTCCTCACTGCAGGCGAGCAGCGTGGAGGATGAGGTGCAGCGGCGGCTCCGCCTGGTCCAGGGTGGGGAGGCTGAGAAGTTGGGTGAGAAGGAGAGGAGTGAGCTCCGGAAGAGAAAGCTCCTGTCTGAAGTGTGAGTGTGCCAATGTCACCTATGAGGGCCCACAGCTGGGGCGGGGGGTGGGGTGGGGAGAGGGCTTGGGGCTCCCCTCCTCCAAAGCCACGTAGGTCCTATAGTAAGAGTGATAAGAACACAGCCCACAGTACCACCTGCTAGCTATGTGTCTCAGCCGAGTCCACTGGTGTCTCTAGGCCTCTGCGTCCTTACCTACAACCAAGAAGGTCCTGTTCTTGAGGGGCAGCTGGAGCAGGACTGCCTGGCCCAGCACGATCCCTTTCCAGGCTGCCTGGCTGCAGTGGCGCCAGCGTTCCCGCTCTGTGCTGAGGACGGCACAGCGTGCTCCCAGCCAGCATCTGCTGAGCGAATGAGCCTGAGGAGCTGGGAGCGGGGTGGAGGTGGGGGGTCAGGAAAGAGGGTTTCGCGTGGTGCCAAGTGCTGGCAAGGAAACAAAGCCAAATGACTTGTTGTGGGGTGGGGTGTTGCGGTCAGTGAGGGGTAGTGGGCGAGGCCTCTTAGGGGAGGCAGCCTTGGTACCCACTCCCCTGCTCCGGCCACAGGGTCCTGAAGACATACTGGGTGAGCAAAGGCAGCGCCTTCAGCACCAGCGTCTCCAAGCAGGAGACAGAGCTGAGCCCCGAGATGATTGCCAGGTGAGGGGGCCGCCCGCGAAGAGGGGAGGGGCCCTATGGGAAGCTGGGGTGGTGGGGCCAGCTCTCATCCAACCTGACCCCCGCACTGCCCCCCCAGCGGCTCCTGGAGGGACCGGCCCTTCAAGCCCTACAACTTCTCGGCCCACGGCGTGCTGCCCCACAGCGGCCACCTGCACCCCCTGCTCAAAGTCCGCACCCAGTTCCGGCAGATCTTCCTGGAGATGGGGTGAGCGTGGGGCCAGTGGCAGGGCCCTGCCGGGCAGGGGCAGGAACAGGACAGGGCAGGGCAGTCAGGCTACGTCTCCCACCAGCTTCACCGAGATGCCCACGGACAACTTCATCGAGAGCTCCTTCTGGAACTTTGATGCGCTCTTCCAGCCCCAGCAGCACCCGGCCCGAGACCAGCATGACACCTTCTTCCTGCGAGGTGGGTGGGCCCCGCAGGCATGGGCCTGCTGCTCTTACAGGCAATCTCCTGGGGCTCGCCCCAACACCCATCAGTGGCAGCGCTTGCTGGGGGCCTACAAAACCTAGCCAGCTGGCCCCCTCAAACTCTGTGAGTTCCTCTCTCCACCTCCTCACCCTGTTCTTTTCCTTCAACACACCAGGGCCTCGGGGCCTTTGTCCGGGCTGTGCTTGCTGCCTCCTCTGGTGTCATATCTCACATGTATCTTTCATGCCCGTGCTCTAACAAAACCAAACCCACCACCACGGAGGCAATTACGACTCACAGGGACCCTATATAGGATTTCAGAGGCTGTCCATCTCTGTGGGAGTCGGCAGCCTCATCTCCCCTGAGCAGCGGCTGGTGGGTTGGAACTACCAGCTTTGCAGTCAGCAGCCCAGCACCTAACCCCCAGGGCCACCAGTACAACTTCTGTGAAAGTCCTCATCTTCCGGCTCCGTCCTTGAGGCCGGGTTGATTGCATCTGAAGTTCTGAGCAAGTAAGCAGGCGCCCGTGGCGGCGGCTCTTGTCCTAGTAGGAGGGCAGGTTGCTCCTCAGGTTCCTGTCTAGAGAAACCTGGTCTGCACGCGGACCTGCCACAAATGCGGCCATTCGTAGGAAGTAGTACTGATAGCCTGTGTTGCAGTGAGGGTGCTGAGGCAGAGAGAGGGGAAGTCACCCATCCGGGGTCACACAACTTGCATGTGGTAGAACCAAAGTCCAATCTCAGGCTTCTAGGCAGGCCAAGGCCATCTCTCCCATTGACAGCCAAGGCACAGCCATGGATGAGACAGGGATGTCCCTGCCCTGGTGGTACCAGTGTAGCCTATTGGGGGAGAAGAGTATTAGCTCCCCAGACCTATTACTGCCATTGAGTCAGTGCCGACTCAGAACAAGCCTGGAGGAGAGGGTTTTAATTGACTGTAACTGTACGGGAGTGGAACTCCTAATCTCTCTCCTGAGGAGAGGCCGGTGATTTTGAACTGCTGAACTTACTGTTAGCAGCACCATGCATAACCACTCTGCCGCTCCCTCAGCATCTGCATAGTGGGGCGGAATCTGAACCCCACTGCCATCAGTCTATCCCGACCCGATGGAACCCTGTAAAACTGGACCTTGGGTTTCCAACAGCCTCGTCTTTCCGCCAAGGAACCGCTCGTGAGTTAGACCCACTAGCCTTTCTGTTAGCAGCCCAGCGCTTACCTCGCTGGGTCACCAGCATTCCTTTGCCTGGTGGTGGCATCAGCAGGGGAGCACGGGGCTGTGGCGTCGAAGTCGAGCATCTCGCCTTGGCAAGTCTTCATCAGGAAGGGGGTGGTTAGGCAAAGACCAAAGGCAGGAGAAGGCAGCAGGCAGGTGGCTGGCGGAGGAAAGCTCCAGACAGAACAGCTACTGCAGAGGCTGAGCCTGGAGGAGAGGAGAGGGATCAATCCAGCAGAAGCCACAGGGCCTTGTATGCAGTGCACAGATTCAGCCTCACGTGCAGTGGGAGCCATAGAAGGTTCTGGGCAGAGGGGGCTGTTCCTGACGCAGGTTCTGGCCGCTCTAGGAGCAAGGGCCTGGCTGCAGGGTTTCCATCTGTCCTCCATGTAGTCAGTGGCGGCAGGCCTCTGCGGGTAGATGCTTGTTGACCAAGCTGTCGGTGCTCTGCTCCCGTCAGATCCCGCTGAGGCACTGCAGCTCCCGATGGATTACGTTCACCGCGTCAAGCGGACCCACTCTCAGGGTGGCTACGGCTCGCAGGGGTGAGGCAGGCCCCGGACCAGGCGTTGTGGGAGGGAGGACAGGTGGATTGAGGGGTGGGGGGTAGGGGGTGTCCAAGAGCCCAGTGTAGACTCCTCCACATTCCCTCCTGAAGGTACAAGTACCCCTGGAAACTGGATGAGGCCCGGAAAAATCTGCTGCGCACACACACCACGTCAGTGAGCGCCCGCATGCTCCACCGCCTTGCCCAGAAGGTGGGTCCTGGCCCATGCAGGTGGGTGTTGGTGAGGCCCCGGGAGTGTCACCTGCACCTGCTGCCCTAACCCCCGGGCCTGGCTGTCATTCCCAGAAGCCCTTCACACCGGCCAAGTACTTCTCCATTGACCGCGTGTTCCGGAACGAGACCCTAGATGCCACGCACCTGGCCGAGTTCCACCAGATCGAGGGGGTTGTGGCAGACCACGGCCTCACCCTGGGCCACCTCATGGGCGTCCTGCGGGAGTTCTTCACCAAGCTGGGTGAGCAGGACAGCACGGGTGGGCAGCCCTGGCTAGGCAGCACAGGCAGCCTTGATGGCCAGCCTCATCTCGGCCTTCTCCCCATCCCTCTCTTGCCCAGGGATCACCCAGTTACGCTTCAAGCCGGCCTACAACCCCTACACAGAGCCTAGCATGGAGGTGTTCAGCTACCACCAAGGTACTAGCGGTGGAGGGGTTGGCCTCCCACCGACTACCGACGCCACAGCCTACCTGAGCCCAACACCAGGCCTGACACCATCTCCCAAGTGTCCTTTCTGTCCCCTTTTCAGGTCTGAAGAAGTGGGTGGAGGTCGGAAACTCCGGGCTCTTCCGCCCGGAGATGCTGCTGCCCATGGGGCTCCCTGAAAACGTCTCAGTCATCGCATGGGGCCTCTCCCTGGAGCGGTGAGTGCCCGAGCTAGCCGCGCAGTCCTCTGCTGCCTGCGGCTGGTAGGACAGCTGTGGGCAACCTTCATGGCATCCATTCATTCCTTCACTTGGCCCGGCCTTCAGCGTGCTTGTGAGGGTGCTGGTCTGCCCTGGCCTTGTGCTCAGGCCGAGGTGGTGCTGAGGTTCCTACCAGTGGAGTGAGGAACAGTGTACTTAGCAAGATAGAGCAGCAGATTCCACAGATGAAATCGAGGGTGTGGCCCATGGTAGTGAGGAGGAGGCAGGTGTGGTTGGAGAAGCCCCCCTCCCCCAGTAGAGGCAGCTGAGCCTGCAGGGAAGCAAGAATCAGCCCTGTAGCTATCTGGGAAAGGTGTTTCTGGCAGAGGCCCTGCAGCCTTGTGACAAGAAGGACCGCAAGCTGCCCACAGGCTGGGGCAGAGGAGAGGAACCGATAGATCAAGCAGGGCCTGGTAGCCAGGAGGAGGAGGAGGAGGAGGCAAAGTGGGGGCCTGGGGAACTGTGAGCAGAGAAAGAATGGGACCTGGCCTAGCTGTCAACTCTGCCCTCTCCCCCACCCCAGCCCCACAATGATCAAGTATGGCATCAACAACATCCGGGAGCTGGTGGGCCACAAGGTGAACCTGCAGATGGTGTACGACAGTCCCCTCTGCCGCCTGGACACCGAGCCAGCGCACGCCCAGATGCAGGAGGCTGCATGACGTGGGCCCCCAGGAAACCCACCTTCCTCCCATCTCCCTCCTGCTCACCTCCTGTGAATCTCTCCGTAGTTAACCCCTTCTATTTATGGGGCCTCTGTGAGGCCAGCCCCCGTACCCCACTACCTCTTCTTCCCCACCTGCCTCAGGGGAGCAGGAGCAAGTTCCATCGACCTTCATGATCTGCTCCCCAACAAGGGTGAGCCACAGGTTGGCTGCTGGCTAATAAAGTGGGCCGTCGCCCTCATCTGGTGCCTTTCCGTTGAGTGCAGGGTCTTTGACACTCAGCCTGCCCCATGGTGTTGGCCAGTCTAGGTGCTGGGACCGCATGTAAGGGGTGGTGGGTTAGGGTTCTTGGATATGCGGGAGCCCTGGGAGGACTAGGGCCATCACCCACTGCTGCAGCTCCCATTTTAGGGGAAAGCAACAGTCTCTCTGCCCCCTCTAGAGGGCAGTACTTGGGAGTGGTGGGAGTCTGGATGAGAAGGGAGAAGCTGTTCTTTTCAGCAACGATTTTCTCAGCAGCACCAAGCCAGCAGAGTGGAGTAGAGCCC